CGGAAATAAACAGACAACAAACCAACGAAAAACAAAATACAAACAAAAAACGATCAAGGCAAATAAACGTCTCCCTGCGAGCGAGGTGTACAAAGATTAGCATTGTGCACACTCCACCATTCCCCACGTAAAGAAATTAGGTCACGCTTGGCAATGTCACAGGCTGCTCACCAGGTCAACCTGTAGCCTAGGTCACCGACCGAAAAACAATCTTTCTGTCTCTTATATTAGGTGCACACTGATTCGAGTTGTCGGATCTGCTTGATTAGTTCGGATGGAAAATTCGGGGTGATCACATTAAAACAGATCTATTGCACTGAAATCGGTTTGAAAATTAAAATATGCCTCGATTTATGTCACATTTATTAATAATATTAATATGGTCCCCTGAACGTTTAAACATAAATGGTGGGTGTTTGGCGGGTGCTCTGGTTTGGTTTGCTCCTTCTTTCCTATCAAACATCCATGGGGGCTCTCATGGTGTAGAGGTAAGGTTATGGAGTTCGCCTTTCATTCAACAGGTCTCGGGTTCAGAACCAGACAGCGACGAAAATTTACTTCTCTAAACATTGTCTGCTTTCACCTCCTTTCCTGCTCTCTGACCATGTTCTGTCGTCTGCTTTCGTTACCACTTTCTGCCCCCTTCCCCTCACTTTCTTTGCCCCCTCCTCTGGGTTCCTACTCTTTCTGCAGCTTTCCTGCTACTACTCCGTGGCTCCTTTTTACTGCTGTGTTTCAGCCTACTGACCTCTGGTCTTCTTAAAATATATGTCACGACGCGGTGGAATCAGGTGCTCATCAACTTTGGGCATATATGGAGTTATTGGTATCATCTTTAAGCTTGTTCATTTGTCTTGCTTTTGATGAAAAAAGAAATGCATTTATTGCCTTCAACAGAAGTCAAGATATTTTAGATTGAAAGAGATAAAATGATCATCTGGTTTCAGAGGTAAAATTAGCAAGAAAATGGCCGTCAAAGTTCGGTAACCTTGAAAACTGTTGTTTTTTTTTTTATTAAAAAGTTGTGCCTTTGATCAACGTTTTTCGGTAAAACCCACACAGCAACGTGTTTTTCATAGTCATAAAAAGTTTTGAGCACCACCGGCCCCGGGGAAAAAATGTATATAGGCGTATAATAAAAATTGAGTAAAGATTGCCAAACGGGAAGAAAAATGCGTTTTCTTCGATTTCATTATTCTTACGAGCATCTGATTTCACCGTGATGCCTCGATATATAATACTATATGATATATACTATCACATTATAACTCTTGTCGTATGACTTCAACGGAGCTTTTCAGCTTTTCAGGCAAACCAAGAGTTCGGAATAATCAAATCGGGGATTTAATTAAATTTTGAACAGAAATAAAAGGGTCATTCCATTAACAATGGAACTGCAGCGAAAACGTAACGTGACCTGCTGAAACAATTTTGAGCCGTGATACAGTGATAGAGACATTCTGAGCAGTGATAGAGACATTCTGAGCAGTGATAGAGGCATTCTGAGCACCATTCAGAGAGTGATAGAGACATTCTGAGCAGTGATAGAGACATTCTGAACAGTGAAATATACATTCTTAGCAATAATAGAAAGAGACATTATAGAGACATTCTGAGCAGCTATAGAATCTAGATAAATTATAAACCCAGAGTGGTGATGGAGACATTCTGAGCAGTGATAGAGACATTCTGAACAGTGATGGAGACCTTCTGAGCAGTGATAGATAGAGACTTTTCTGAGCAGTGATAGACAGAGACATTTCTGAGAAGTGATAGAGATATTCTGTGCTGTGATAGAGACATTCTTAGCAATAATAGAAAGAGACATTATCGAGACATTCTGAGCAGTTATAGAATCTAGATAAATTATAAACTCCAGCAAAATTTTAAAAACAAACAAATTTCCTAAGCAATTTAAAATGAACTATAGCGTACTGGGTTTTTTTGTGCTTTGTAACAGAGATAGGACGGGCACGGCCGAGTTTGACCAGAGTTTCTCTTTTAGTGAATTCCTAAGAGACCGTGCACCCCACAGCCCACCAAGCTCCTCCCCTCTGACCTTCTCCTCCACTTGCTACACCCACTCCAGGTAACAACTGCTGCTCCCGGTCAATTACCCCATTCCTAACCACTTGTGCTAAGCTTCGACATGGATTTTCACAAACTGGATATCCAAGTTTTCCAGGAATTAACTGGATACAATTGGGTCGACCTGGATTTCAGGCCTGCTCAGTAACATTATCTCAAACCCTAACTTGCTTCCCACTTAACTTGCTGCTGATTTATCTAGATTTATAAAATCTAAACCAGTTTAAAAATACGTTTTGCTCTCGGGAATTTCTGACTTTTCTGGACTTGCTTTTTTGTCTTGCTATATTTTCACCTTTCTCCTCCTCCTCCCCGTCCCAAACTGTGCGCGCTGCTATCTTTAGGCTCTGTTGTGTCTGCTCCACCTCTCCCCACCCCCACCCTGCCCCATAGACAGCAAAGCTGAGCCTTGCACGAAAAAAGCAAGCCGAAAAGCAAGTCGAAGTGGGCTGGGTCTCTAACTTGATTATTTGAATCTGATGCGAGAACTGGATGTTATCCAGATTTACATTTGGGTTTCCGCCCAGCACAAATAACAATTAACCACATGACACATCAGCGCCCCGCCCGGTCCTTGATCCCTGCGTGCGGATGACACTACGTGTTGTTATTGGTATCATCTTAAAGCTTGTTCATTTATCTTGTTTGTTTTGTAAGGTCTTTTTTGGGGGGG